TGCAGATTCCCATGCCATCTTAGTTAACTAGTAGTTCTTCCAAGTAATTATCTGCTAAATAAAACCCTTCGTATGTGCAAATACCGATCCTTTATGCTCAAACTACACAGAAATAATTGGGTTTTCAGGCAATGAGCATGGAAAAGATTTTATGTTCGCTGATAACGAAAAAGATTCAGGAAAACCGCAGGTTTTCCAGCTCTTGTTCCAACTGGGGTTTGGAAGCTTAAATGCAATCTTCCGATCTGAAAATAAGAAGCAGGTGGTGAATCTGTTCGCATCAAATCCCACAATGAATCAACGAAATGATTAATTCCCTTGACACTCTCAAATGGCAATATCCCAGCCGTGAATCCTGTCTTCGTGGTGGGAACAGTCGTGTCTACGCCCCCATTTTCGGTACCTCTGGTGGTTCCGACTTCGACATATGACCTGGCGCTCTAACTGGTAATCCGAGTGTTGGATTATTAGTAGCTCGAGGTGTGTGGTCTGTTCGCAGTTTTATAAGAACCACGAACCACGGTGGAAAGAATCGCCTCGGGCTGAGCAAGCCGAACAAGTCACTTTATATGCCTACTGGTGTCATGGGCAGCCAGATTAGATTTGATTGAAATTGATTGCCGCATTTTTTTCTCCCAATTTTCTTGAATTGGCTAATAAGGATTAAGGTTTCGTTGCATTGTTTTCAGCCATGAGGCGGATGGGAGAGTTAATTGATGGGTTAAAACTGAATAGTAAATTGGCGAAAGGATTTGCCGTTTGAGACCTAATTTTGAACCCGACACAGTTTACCGCTCTACAAGGTAATTCGTCTTCTTACTTTTGACTTTAAGTACAACAAAATGAGGGAAACTAATAAATGCGAAGTAAGCGAAGTACAGTTAAAATTTGGTAACAAACACCAGCATTGTTCAGGTCTTCTATTAAGGACAGTGAACATTTCAAACTACTTCTTTAGTTTGAATGTTCACATCATCTAGTGAGCTGGACGAAATCAGGTTTTTGGGAGATTTTTATGAAATTTCCCACAAGTTTAGGTTCAAGTGTAGTCTAAAGGCTGTAAATCGTACAAGTTGCTGCTTGCTTCAGTTTCCTAGTTAGAGATTTCTAGAGGAGACCGTGCAGTCGGATGGAAGCATCCATTTTGGAACCATCATTTACTAAGGTGACAAAAAATTAGTACTCTGGTAAAAGCACTCAGGAAAATATCAGCATTTCTAGACTCGAATGTCTTCTAAAAACGGTAAAAATTATAAGTTGCTACTTCCATTGGTTTAACGTTTGCAAATTTTTCAAATTAAAGCGAAGCTGACTGGAAAAACGATGACAACATTACCTAAGTAGTTTGGGAAAATCAGGATTCTCGAGTATTGTCTTCAATTTTTAAGCATCGTTAGGGTCCACTATGTTTTAAGGATTCTGAAAACTTCAAGTTGCTTCTGGTCTTAGCTTGGAACATTTTTAAAGAACGCCGTGTTGGACAAAAACACCTATTTTAAGACGCGCACTTACGAACGTTGGCAAAAATCATAATTCCAGAAAACTTTCACGAATTTTTCCGTATCTTTAGGGCTGAGTGTTTGGCATGAACCGTATTAATTGTGAAGGCRCTACTTGTTTCTACCAGGTTCCATATATATAATATATAAATAAGCTTTATTTCCTACAGAAAAAGGCTATCGACCCAATCGGTCTTTCTGCCCACCAGGTTCCATTTTACCAATTTTTTGAAAACGAATGTAGTGGGCTGAAAACTTTCAAGTCGAAGTCAACATTTACCAAGCTGGTAAAAATCAGGATTCCCGAAGATTTTCATGAAATCCTCAGGATGTTTACAATCTAATGTCTTTCACTGAAAGTAAAAATCGCAAGTAGCTGCTGACTTTAGTTTGGACGTCTTGCATTTTTTAAAGATATAATGCGGATGGATGAAAGCACCTATTTTGAAGCCCGCCCTTACTAAGCTGGACTAATAAAATCACGACTCTCAAAAATCTTTACCCAAACTTCAGCATCTATAGAGTCGATTGTTTTCCAAGTACCACAAAAATTGCAAGTTGCTGCTTGAGCTAGTTCCAATGTTAAAAATTTTGCAAATAAGGGGGAGCAGCAGTTGAAAACCTACATTTTGAGACCAACATTTACTCGGCTAGAAAAACTTAGAACTCCATATATATCCGACTCATTTTCAGAATCGTTGGAGCCAGGTGTCTTGCAAAGACTGTGTAAAGATCAAGTTCTTACTTGTCTTTGTATGGCAGTTACAATTTTTTAAAGATGTATTGATTACATGCATCCATTTTGCCACCGTTATTTACCAAGCTGAAAAAACCACAATTTTTGGCGATTTTGTTGCAAATTGCAACATGTTACCCTTATATACAAAAAGACAATTTCAACTGAAAATTTGTTCTATTTTGAAAGTGAAGAGCATTTAAATGAAATGTGCAGTTGTATGAAAACTCTGATTTTCAGCCCTAATTTGACTGTGCGACAAAAATGAGGATTGAGGACGATTTTAATTAGAATTTCACAATCTTTAGATCCAGGTGTCGGCTAAATAATGGGAAATTTTGAAGTGGCTAGTAATTCTGGATTGGAAACACGGAATTTTTAAAGGACGGCGTGCAATTTTGATGATTGCACCGCAAGTCTGAAAAATGCTTGCAAACAAAATCAAACAAAACTGAACTTACGCGATGAATCGACAGTACTGTTCACAAAAGTAGGCTACAGGTCCTAGAAAACCAACATAAAAATTAATAGTATTACAATGAGCAATGAAGAGAAAGTACAAAAAACTATTTTTTGTCTGACAAAAGGACGTTTTCAGAAAGAATATTTCTGTTAAACTTTCACAACCACAAACTTACACTTTTTATTTGGATTGAAGCGAGAAAAAGGATAAAATATAAGTCTAGTAAATAAATGGCAATTTATATTTTTGTTGCCGCAAAAATTTGTGTTGCTTTCGCAGTTCAAAATTGAGTGCAGCATTTTGATTTTTTAGTTAATTTTCAAATTTCATCTTACTTCAGATTATTTAAAATGTTTTGCTAAAAACCGATTAACATTAGCTCTTCAATCTATAAAACTTCCAGCTCATTTCACTTCGCACCACCTATAAATCTCTCTTTCGCATCCTTCTCATTTAATTCTTGACATGTTTGAATGCACAAATATTTAATTTTTCCTTTAATTTTCACTTAGTAAATTGCTTCTCACTCAGACTACCTGCGTTGACAAACCAAAACAAATTATAATTATTCGCACTTGTTGGCCTGTTAAAGTTAAAGGGTAAAGTCTTTTGGGAAATGCGACAGCTACCCTTTCGCAATTTTCATAATTGAAAACCATCAAATTAAGGAGTACGGGGACTATTTGATATACTTGCAACTAAATGAGTTTAATCACGTAATAATTCACCCGGATATCTGACAATAATTACCGTACATAAGGGAATAATAGACAAATTTTATAAGTTATGGATAGCATTTAATAATAACGGATAATTTGTAGTTTATTGAAGGAAACTATGCTTGGACGGTTTTGTTAGTTAAAGGGTTTAAATCCAGGTTAAAAGTGAAAAAAGTCAATAAAGAGTTTCGTCACTTGCAATAAAAATCTATATAATATTTATACACTGTTCTTTGGAACATAAATCTGGCCTGCTATTTGAAAATCTAAATATAGTATAGCTGCATATGCGCCATTTTATACTGTCAAAAACAACTAACATGAGTAGGCGTAAAATATAAATTTAACGCGATTATAAATTGCGTTTATGTCTTCACGCACTGATTTGTTAATATTTTAAACAAAAATAGTAATTAAATTTCATTATAAACATGCAGAGTTCTAAGGTAAACTCCGATAATATAGAATGTGTTAGATTATATTAACCGTGGCATGTGTTAATTTTCCACCTCATTTCAAGCGAAGAATGGCTTCCAAAGTAAAATATTACCGTTTGCCATCGAGGCCCGAATGGTAATATCGTCTTTATGGGTTTTAGTCGAAGACTTTAGGGCTGCGTTTATTAAAAAAAGGGGGGCGTCATGTGGTTAAAGGGTACACATTTTTAACGACACGAAATAAATTGCGCTTTTGTTATAAAATTTCAGTGGGAAAACGTGAATCTGTTCTTGAAATTTCAAAGTGAGTTAGAAATTTTCTATTAAAAGTTTTTGGGTTGCGTTGGATCTCAACAGTTGAAATTAATTTGTTTATGTGAAATAAATGCTTTTTGTTAATTTGAATTAGATCGAATAAGGTAATTCTGCGGTAGTTTAGCCTGAATTCGGGAAGAAAATTGGGTTTTTGTAATTTTTTTTTTCTTGCTAGTGAGTGGTCAGACTTAAATTTTTGGGCAAATTTTGCCCCATACATAACGACTCAATTATATTTTTCCTGAGAGCTGACTAAGAAATATTTGATCCCAGCATTGCCATTGAAATTACCAACTATTCACTATAAATATGCACTTTCATAACTCACAGGCAGTGAAACAAGAACACCTCACATACGCAACCAACTTGCAAAGATATATCTCGTGGTAAAGACGCGTTAAGCTTACCAGATACTCGTATAAATTAATTCTAATAAATTCCCCAAGAAACATGATAGACCAACCTCCGTTTAGTTTACACGGCGTCCATCTATCAACTGGGGGTTTTGTCCTCTGACAGGAAAAATTGATTGGATTTACGACTGCAGCAACTGTAGCTGGTAGCTTTCGAGAAGATGGTTTCAAACAACTGTATTAATTTACTGCAGACATTTAACGGGACTCGGGATATGGTGATATCTGAATTATTTTGAGATACAAAGGAAACAAACTTTTGGTCGAGCGATTAACTTTGTTTGCAAGAACTAGACCAAGACTTTTACATAAGCAGGCTAAAGCTCTAACTCTAGCAAGACGAACTTGTTCTACTGAATATGTGTTTAATCGATTATGTTTTCACCTACATAGGTCCAATTGTAATTTTTTTACGTTGTAGGCGGATGTTTCCAACTGTGAGGGTGTCCTTTACGGGAATTCGCGCCGACCAAAGGTATGCGGTCCTCCTCGACATAGTTCCTGTTGATAATAAGCGATATCGATATGCATACCATAGATCGTCCTGGTTGGTAGCAGGAAAAGCCGATCCTCCTGCTCCATGCAGAATATATGCGCATCCTGATTCGCCCTATACGGGCGAACAGCTTCGGAAACAAGTGGTTTCGTTTGAGAAAGTGAAACTTACCAACAATGAAATGGACAAACATGGACATGTAAGTGCACGTTCAACTTGTCTCTGTCGGCTGTGTAAAAGTATTTAATCACATTTATAGTTTTCGTCCAAAGGTTTCCAACTAGTGATCCTGATTGTTTAATTTCCAGCTAGTTCTTAATTCGATGCACAAGTACCAACCTCGAATTCACCTGGTGAAGCGACCGGAAGGCAGTTCAGGGAATGTTACGGATTTGGAAAATGAAGAGTACAAAACTTTCATTTTTCCCGAAACCATTTTCACGGCCGTTACAGCTTATCAAAACCAACTGGTAAGTGATCACGTTGAGCCTAATTTTGCAATGTCGTTCCATTTATTTACACATTTGGTGCATATGGAGGTCTTATTGGTGCAGCCCAGAAAGGCGTCATAATATTTACCAAGACAATTAGGTTGATAAATGAGGTATGTGGAAATCTTCCTTTGCATTCTCATTGCGAGGATCGTCTGAAATTTGAGCAAGTTTAGGTTTCAAATGTTCAAATTTCTATGGATCGCTCTTATTTGCAGAGTACAGAAGAAAAACCTGCAAAGTCATTTGGTAAACAGTTGCATTATGGCAATGTAATTTGAAAAAAAGCCAGCACTTTCAACTGAAACTGGAAACTGTACGGACGTACAAAAGGTGTAAATTGAAGAGACCGGGATATGGGTTTTATCACGCTTGAAAGGTTTTTGATTGTGCAGGGGCGTATCCAGCTTTAAATTCAGTCTTCTGTTGTCTATGAAATTAGAAAAATTATCGTCGTTTTGTGCAAGGGTGCGTAAGATTATTGCAAAATTTCATGTTTTTTTGCGTTTTTGCTCATATCTTGGAGGCAAAATGAGCAAGAACGCTCATTTGTACATCATTCTAGACAGAAATAAATGGCCTTTTTAGAAAGTGAACCA